AAGTGGTCCAGATAGACTGAAGGCCTGCAAGGCGGTCTAGTCAGGCTGAAGGCTCATTATGCATGTTGTTCTGTATTTGTTGATATGATATGATTATGGTTATATGAGGTTGGTATTTTGAGGGTAGCTCACTAAGCTTTCGGCATTACAGTTTCAGTTTGTTGTTTCAGGTACTTCTAGTGATCCTGGGAAGGCTAAGGCATGATCGTACCGCTCCTCCTGCTATTATGATTTGATACTGGGATACTCTGATATTTATTATTTTGAAAACAAACTATGTAATGTTAAATGGTTTTAAGTGTTTTAAATTTGACATGATTTTTATGGGTGTTACAAAGATTCTCGAACGAGGCCTGCTGCTCGGGACCCTAAGCAAAAGTAACACCCTTCCTGGTCAACCTGGTAAGGGGAGCCGTAATCTTAGAGAAATCTTTGATAAATCTCTGGTAGTAGCCTGCCAGGACAAGGAAACTCCTGATCTCGGATGGGGATCTCGGAACCTCCCATCGTATAACTGCCTCAATTTTTTTCGGGTCGACCAAATTCCCATTCTAATTAACGAGGTGCCCAAGGCTAAGGAAACTCCTGATCTCGGATGGGGATCTCGGCACCTCCCATCGCATAACTGCCTCAATCTTTGCCGGGTCAACCAAATTCCCATTCTAATTAACGAGGTACCCAAGGCTAAGGAAACTCCTGATCTCAGATGGGGATCTCGGCACCTTCCATCGTATAACTTGCATCAATCTTGGCCGGGGATACCAAAATTCCATTCTGGTTTTTCAAGGAATGACCACTTGAAGTTTCAGTTATTTTGCGCATCTTAATTGATTTGGGATGGCCCAACCGGTCATGTCAAATATTGAAGGTGTTATCATACATTTTGTTTTCAATAGCATGAGATTCAATCATCCTAATATTTGTATAATACAATTCGGAGAACAATACATATAATTTTTCCAAAAGACTTTTCTCACCTGATATTATTTTTGTAATACTGAGATACGATTTATCATCATTATTAGTTGTTTCAACATGATATCCGTTGGACATAATATCCTTAAAACTTAATAAGTTTATTGGTGATTTTGATGAAAATAATGCATCACCAGTTGTAATTATTGTCCCTTGTGGTAATATTATATTCGTTCTTCTGGAGTCTTCAATCATTTTTGCGTTACACGTTATTGTATTAATATTTGCTTCTCCAATTGATAAATAAGCAAAATATTTTTCATTATTAAAAATGATATGTGTCCTTACACTGTACATATATCTTTTTCATTTCTTTTGCGAATATACATATTTATCTTCAATAAATAAATAAAACATAAAAAACATTCGACTTAGAGAAATAAAGTCATATTTTATTACTTTGAGAAGATTGTGATGACATCATTTCTCATGAAATGAATATGACATAAAAACATAATAAATGACATGAAACAAAACTATATATATATATATATATATATATATATATATATATATATATATATATATATATATTATTTTTCTATCATCATCCATAACACCACTTGTCCCTTCTAGATAGACAAGATAATTTGCAACATCCAAATGTGCCATTTTTGGTTGATCTTCGTGAAAAACATTTTGAATAAAATTGTTTCGATATTTTATTCTTTAGATTTTAGAAAAGCTTGATAAAGATCAACAAAATGTTTTGGAGAGCGGTGACAAATATTTTCAATTTTCTTTTTTCTTGACCACTTTTTATCTAGGATGTAAGTTTTTGTTATTTTCCAACTTCTGGTGGTTACTTGTAATCTTTTTATTTTTTATGATAATAACCTCCATGACTATTATGATTATATGATGTTGCATTCACTCCAGGGAATGCACTAGAACCGGTCAAGATTGATTGCTGATTTTTCATCAACAACTCATTATTTTGTTTAGCCACAAGAAGACATGAGATTAATTCATATTTATTTTAAAACTTTCTAATGAAATTGCTACTGCATGAGCATGTTAGTAGCATGAAAAGTAGAGAAAATTTTCTCTAACATGGTCTTCCATAATGAAAATAGCAATCAAAATAAAGACTTGTATGTTAAGGAAATGTTAGTTAAGAAATTCCATAAAATAAGTTGTAAACATTGTACATGTAAATTTATAAAAAAAACATACATAAAAATGACAAAAACAATAAGAAGTTAGAGCTTTATGATAGAGTCGTGCTGATAACGTGTTATAAAATATGATCAAATAACAAGATAAATTTTAAAGTAAAAAAAATACATGAGCGTGTAGAGAATTTTTATTCTAATACTTGTGATGAAATAATCAACTTTCTAATACATATGGTTCACTATTTATACAACAAAAATAAGATGAAAAATGAATGCATATTATGATGGTACATTATTACATTCATAAAATACATTAAAATGGTTGTTAATAATACTAAATAATGATAGAGTTATTGGAGAAATAAGGAATCCAATGGTCATTCACAAACTAATATTTCATAACAATATTAATAATGTGTCAATTTTTAAACACGATAGAACGTGCTTTTTACACCTGAGATGAACATGATACAAAACGAATTCAAAATTTAATGTCATCACAATTTTGTTTCATATAATGTATTTATGTCGTGACATGCCATGAATTGTTACTCCTGATGAAATTGAAGATCTAGTTCTATATTTGAAAATCATTTTTGTAAAAAGAAAAATTGTTTTATAGTTTTTTTTGTTGATTTGCTTCATTATTCTCAATGTATTTATCATTTTTTTAAATGTTCATCCATAATAGGTTGTAGAACATTCTGCGTATGGTTAAAATTGAACCATGTTACCACGTATTAAATTGCAAGTATGAATCTACTGATGGCAATGGATAATTGGAAACATTTTTTATTTTTATTATTTTTTTATTATTATTATTATTATTATTATTATTATTATTATTATTATTATTATTATTATTATTATTATTATTATTATTATTATGTAAATTAAGTGAACCAAAATCTCCATATTTAATCGAAAATGATATAGCTTGTCTTAAAATAAAATAAATAAAAAATCATTCTAAAATAAAAGTTTTATTTGTTATTAAAAAAGAAAAAAGTCAATCGAAAATTACTTCAACTAGTTTTCGATAACCTTTAAGTTTTCAAAGTTTCATCTTTTAATTTTTATCTATTTTTTAAATCTTTAATAACCAACCATTGTTTTTTCCCATATATCTTTCTATAAAAAAAAAAGTTATCATTGTTGGTTTGTGCTTTTCTAATCGTTTGGACACGTGGCTGTGGAAATGTGAGTCATCAAGAATTTTTTCTGTCCGGTCGTTAAGGAACCCAATGCACAGTAGAGCTGAACATGGATCGGTTTGGATTGGTTTTGACAATTTGATCCAAAACCGAACCCAAACCACTGGTATCGGTTTTCAAATATTTAAAACCCAAACCGATGGGGCGGTTTCCCGGTTTATTCAAACTCGGTTGCGGTTTTAAACCAAAAACCCGTTCGAAATTTTACTTGGGGGATTTGGTAGTTTGTATTGCTTTATATAAGAGGTGAATAAGAAGAATGTTTCATCCCTTTGTCGATGTGAGATAAAGTTTCGCTGTAACAAATAGAAGAAAAAAAGGGATTTAATATTGGTAAACAAAATAAAAGCTCAACACGTCATGAGAAAGGATCAAACCCGGGTCATTTGCATTATATGTCCGCCTCCTTAGCCAACACACCAGCCATCTGTTTGTGTTTACAAGTCAAGGAAAACATATATATACATATATAAATCGTAGAGTTCATATTTTTATAAAGTTCGGTTCTGTTCGGTTTCTCTCGGTTTCGCACATTCCTAAAACACAAACCGAACCGAATTTTTCGGTTTCTAAATAATACAAACCTAAACCGTCGGTTTCGGTTTTTCGGTTTCGATTTCGTCAGTTTTTGTCGGTTTTTCGGTTTGCTCACCCCTAATGCACAGAAGTTGAATGATGACAGTACTTTGCAAGGTTTCTTTTGGGTAGATTGGATTCTATCGAAATTAACTGTTTCGTTTGGAGGGTGCTTTTGAACAGGATACCGGTGGCTTGTAATTTGCTTGATAAGGGGATTGTGCTTAACTCAACTGTGTGTGCTTAACTCAACTGTCTGTGTGCGATTTGCGGAACTGGAGAGGATAATATTGATCATTGTGTTTTTCTCATGTTTTTTTCTTCTCTAATTTGGATTTGGTTTTCTTCTTGGTGTGGTGCAATCTCGCTGATTCCGAGTTGGATGGAAGAGTTCTCGTGTTTGAGAGCCTCGACTAGTTGTAAAAGCGGAAGAAGCTCTTATTGACTTTATTATATACGGTTTTGTGGGTCAACCGGAATGCGAGGAACTCGTTGGTGCTCAACAAAAGATGATCCCATCTAAGAACGACATATGATATCTAGCAGTTCAATTGTATCAAACAAAGGTCTTTGTTTAAGTTTATTTCTTGATTTGATTGAGGTATGTCTTTTTCTTCTTTTCTAATTTATAAGCTTTTGATAACAACTTGCTGGTTTTTTTAATGCATTCCTTTAAAAAAAATTAGATTTTTTTGGTATTTGCCGAGTTTGGAAGACGTCTTTCAATGCCGGCCAGTAATCACCAACACGTCTCAAAACAAGTTGTGTAGGTCCGATTATATTAAATTATTTGTTTTGTTTTGTTTTTTGGTAACTTTTCTTATATAAATATCTGTATACCAAGTTGTGTAAGGCCAGTGATAATTTTATAATATTTCAACAAAACAGGATAATAGAAGACGATTTTATCTTTTTAGCAAATATAAAACTTCTTATTAATATTCTAATTGTTTATATTTTTGTTGTAAATATTGTGTTTCTTTTATCCTTAATATATACATAAAAAAATGATGCTCAAAATAGAATAATCAATAAAAGAAATCTTGTCAACTTGTTATGAATATATTATATTAAAAAAATTCAACAATAATATAATATAGTAATGATATAACAATGAGATGATATGAAATAGATTGATTTCATGGCCACGAAAATGACAACAATGTCCTATATGTAATTTTAGCGTATTCGAAACGTTAACAAGCTTCTTTGTCTGGTATTGTTTGGGGAAAATGGCACTTGAATATAAATTTACCGAAGCAAACATGAAAAATTATTACACAGATAACAGATTCAATTAATTTGAAAAGAAATCTTTCAATGGATAAAAAACAAAAAAGTATTAACAAACTTCCCATTTCCCAACTCTCTTATAAAATAGATAGCAACACTACAAATTGCAGTGTAGTACAACAATGTTCCTTCAATAAATCATCACTTTTTCTCGTATCAATCTTTTGTAGAAACTTGCTTCACCATCTTAGCTTTTCTGGGAAATACTGAAAAAAGGAATACACAAGATGTAATCAAGTGAAAATTCAATAATATTTGATGAAATATTATACACATAAAAAAAAATAGTGTCTTACCTTTTGAATGAGTGATTGGTAGTAAGGCTTCACCTTTTCAACATCAACACGGACTTTACTTTTACTATAAAGATCATACTTACTACAAATAATAATTAAACATAATATATCATTAATTAAATATTTTTATGTAATTAATTACTTTGCATTACGTGTACACAAAAGTTTGCGTACTTACTTGAAGATTTGAAGCCATTTCAAGTTCTCAACATCTTCCTCATTCATCAAATGCTTATAAGCTCCAGAACGATGCATTGCTGGAAGAATTTAAAAAAATAATTTTTTTTTTAAGAAATAATATTAAAATATATATAGCAACTTACGATAGAAAGAATGGTAACGAATGACAAATAATCCAGCTTGAGGCAACGTAGTCCCATTTTCCTTTGCTACCTGCGAATTAAAAAGCAGAAATTGTTTTTAATTTCTCTTTATTATAATAAAATTTATTATGCTTTTAGGGACCTACATTGAAGGTAACATATCCACAAAAAGAACAAGTATATATATATATATATATATATATATATATATATATATATATATATATATATATATATATATATATATATATATATATATATATATATATGTTTTAGATTTCATACCAAGTACATATAATCATCATGGCCCCATGAAATCATCACATTATCTAGTCCACATCCTTCGGAATAAATCCCATTCTTAGTTTGATAAACAGGATTCTTAACATCAGGGTTTTCCTTGAAATACTGCACAATATATAAAAAACATTAAATAATTTATCAATTGTCACTAATTCTTTAATCTTTATGAATTAATTATAATTAATCTCTAGATTAAAAAAATATATACCTTATGATGAATAATTGATTCATCAAAAGCACAACCAAGAGGATGTGTGTCACCCACAACTGCCCACTGGGGTAGCTCTCCAAATTTTGGCAAGAGTAGAACTTTTCCAAGGTCTACAAATAAAAAATATCATAATCCACCATGAACATGTTAATATATAGATATAGATATTAATTTATTTATAATATATATAGATATATACCATGAATAAGGGCAGTCAAATGAAGCCAATCTTCATTTGGATAATCTTTACGAATGGCTTCAGCTGTCTGTAACAAATGCTCGATTTGTGGTTCATCCAAATCAGGATCACTATCGTCTACGACTTCATTCAATAATTCACAACATTCCCATATACTCATTTCAAGCTTATCCAATTTCTTATACTCTTCTCTCATTTTCTTCACAAATTCATATGTTTGGTTAATGTGATTCATCCTATAGCATTCTTCCACTTGCTTCTGTCTTTTACTCTCGACGTCATAATCTCTGCAAGATAGAACAATCTCATCGTTCATTGATGTCGACGTTTAAAAAAAAAAAAAAACGTTTATTTGAGAGTTTCAAAATTTAAAAAAACCTGAATGTGTGACCAAATGCATTGATTTCTGGGGCATCAAAACCACCACTAGCCACATTATCAGGCACTACAAACCCTCCATCTAATACCAATTCATTGGTATTATTATTATTGTTACTATAGTTCTTATTTTCCACCACCTCGGAATCTACAAATAAACAAGAACAAAATGTTATTCATAACATCAAACAACCCTCTATTATAAACAATAACTATTCAAAAAAAAAAAAAAAAAAAGAGTTACCTGTTTGAGGTTGGTCGATGCAAACAGTCATGTTTAGAATAACGAAAAATAAAAAGGAGATATAACACAATTGGTGTTGTTTTGATGATGAACAATGAAAAATACGAAGTTTTTTATAGGTGTTTTGAGAGAGGTCCTTGTTTGCTATTTGGAAAAGTTTTGAGTCCTCGTTTGAAATTATATTTATATGTTACTGTTTCCACCTATAAAAAAACGCGATGATAGATAGATTGATACACGTGATAGGCTTGCCTTGCCCACTCTCACTATCACCGCGTGACGTATATTAACGGGTTATTTGAGATATTTTAGAAAGTGTTGTACACGCGCGTGGAAACTCGAGTGACGAATATGAGGATAGTATGACTCAGTTCCAGCGTGTAGTTAACCGCCAAAGTTAATAGATGAGAGAATCGACGGGGTTCTGAGTCATTGCCGACGATGCTTTGACTATTTTTCAAAATTTATTAGCTGTTTCCCTTTCAATATCTGACATCATCAACCCATTCTTTGACTTCAAAAGTAATCTCATCTTACGGTTATTAATTTGACACGTCACGTATCGATACTCCCTATCACAAACGTCCCGCACTGGATTACTTATTTGCGTTCGTGCCTTAACGTGTCAACGTTTATCACGTTTAACTTTCAAAAGAAAGTGATGAAGATCTATCATATATTATATAAATATTTTATAGACAAAAATGCATTTTCAATGATTATAATACTATAAAAGGTAGTTAAAACTTTAAGGTATGTTTTTTCTTCTTAAACTTTTATAACAAAAAATCTTTGATAAAAATCACCATCATTCCCACTTTCATATTATACTTATATGAATGAATAATACTTGAAATTTGAAAACACAAATGTTACCATGTTCACTTTACGTAAGAAAATATATACCTGTAGTCATGTTTGTGAACTTGAGATCTTCTTCATCGACAACCATTGCAAGCATAAAAAATCCTCGTATTTGAATCACTAATGATGTTTTTTCTTTCGAAATTGATGATAGAAGTTTTTATTGTAACCGTCTGTTTGATATTTATCCAAATACGCCAACCGTTTGCACGTCTATCTTATCCGCCCATATAATTCTATGGCCCAATTCATACGTTAATTCATGTCTTCATTTGTTCTGCTTACTGGGCTTTAGGCCCAAATTGAAGACTTGTGTAATCTCTTCATCCTTCCTTGTTATGAATTATGAATATGAATTATCAGTTATCTGAGCCACTTGTGGAGAAAACGCTGCACAAAGTCCAGATAAATTTGGGATTAGGATTTTTTTTTAGTCCGGATCGGATCGGTTTGATTTTTCAAAGTCGATTTTTGGATAAAATCCAAATCAATTTTTTTATTGGAAAATGGATATCCGGTTTACCTGATTCGGATCGGACATAACCATATTGTTTATAATTATATAGGTTTTAAAGTACTAATAAAAAAAAAAGATAAAAATACAATATTCAATCCTAAATTTGAAAATACAATATTTTTAGTTTGCCAAATGGTCGTCTTTATGAAATCAAATTTTATCTAATAGGAAAATTCTTGAATGGAGTCTTCTTCCGCAATATCACGCTCATCTACACAAATATTGTGCAACTTCTTATACATGGATTTACTTTTTGATGGATAATAAAAGTGGTCTTTTATGTTAAACACAAGTTTATATTTTTTTCTACTGTCCGTATAATTTTTCAAACAAGCAAATATGTTCATTGATTAGGCAGTGGGTTATCCGGCGAGATTCCAAAACCACTGTGGAATCATAAAAAAAAAAAGAAAAAAAAAAAAAAAAAAAAAAAGTGGTCTTTTATGTTAAGCACAAATTTACATTTTTCTGTCCATATAATTCTTCAAACAAGCAAATATATTCATTCAGTATAATTCTTCAAACAAGCAAATATATTCATTGATTAGGCAGTGGGTTATCTGGCCAGATTCCAAAACCACTCTAGAGTCGAAAATTGAGGTTTCTTTTCTTTCCACTAAACTAAAATATCAAGATTTTTTAATTTTTTTTAACACTCATGTGTTTGTATAAAGTTTAATACTATTTAATTTATCAATTCGCAACTTGGGATGTAAGTTCGTCTAGCATCATCTTGCAAAATATTATAAAGTTGACGATTTGTATTGCGGTGACATCTATTTAATAGGGGTGAGCATTTGGACCGGATCAAATCGGCTTTTGGACCGTACCAGTTCCAGAGAATATTGTGGATCATGGACCGGACCGGATGAGTTTGGTTTTTCCGGTTCTTGAACATGGTTGGACCGGTACAACTTTACGCACATAAAATACAAGTAGTTAAAACGCGTTTTTGGATTTGATACAACTCGTTAAAATGAATATGTTGTTGAGTTTGATATGTTACAACTCGTTAAAATGAATACGAATTTGAGTTTTATATGATACAACTCATAAAAGTGAATACATTTTCGTTTCTTGTACCCCTTAAACCGATCAAACTTTGATTGTTTATACTATTTGTTTGAATGTTGAATCAAATAAGTTGATGACTTTATCATAATTCATGCATAACTAATCTAACTTTATTTATAATATTATAACTTGCAAAATTAATTTTTCAAATAAAAGCACATAACATATAAATTAAATTCATCAACAAAAGTTGAAATCTTAACACAAACATACAAAAGTAATTATCGTAACACAAAAAATCATAATTTAAAATTTAAAATCAATCCAACTAACAAACATCATAATCTAATCTTCCCCATATCATTGTCATCTAAATTTAACATGTTTAAAGATTGTGTAATCTCTACATAAACACAAAATGAAAATGTTATTCGTATTTAATAAAAAGTAATAACTGAAAAACTAAAATATTTCGGCTTTGATATCCCAACTTTGAAGGATTGTAACTCATTGAATATAGCACAAAAAAATTAATAATTATAGTCTAAATTCATCTACAAACTTTAAATTATATGTTGGAAAAAACTGCATGTCAATTCGACTTACGAATGAGATATGCATGTTTAAAGAATTTCACAGAATACAAAATTTAAATTTATTGCCGATAAGTTGAAATACTTCAGCATTGATATCTCATCTTTGAAGGATTGTAACTCATAGAATATATAACACCAAAACAATAAAATTATAATCTAAAGGGTAAATTACATCAATCGTCCTTGTGCACATGTCAAAAAGCATGTTTAATCCCTATTTTCAAAAATTAATTCGGACTGTGCCTGGTTTGTTTTTTCTTGCATACTTGGTCTCTATTGACATGAAATGACCATTTTACCCTTAATAATTTTTTTATTTCTTTCATTTATTTATTAGTTTTAAATTAAAAAAAATAATAATAAATAATCTCTCAAGAAATCAAATCCATTACTCCACGAGTCCAAACCCTCTTTAAGACCTTAAACCAAGAAATCGATACATCCACAACCAAAATAATCTCAAAAAATTGATACATCGTCGACGATCATTCCTATCTCAAACCAACAAAAAAATTCCACCGGTGAATCCCAGGAGCCCGTTTCCACCCTTGCAATCTATGATTTTATAAATGTCACATAAATCATCCGATCTGGATTTTTCATTCGCCATCCATGGTCTGAACTCGTCGGCTACTCAAGAATGTTGACCACCACGAATGTATGATTTAGATTTCAACTTCAATTTTTGGAACCATCCCACCCTTTTCCTCCACACAAATCGGAAAAATCAAACCTCAAAGATTAAATCCTAAATCTGCAAATCAAACCTACCTAAACCCTAAACCTGCAAATTGGAACTAACGATTTGCAGGAGGATTTCGATCAACGGAATTAGACCGAAAAACGTGATGTCCACTACCACCGGATCGAGGAGGATTCCATCCACCACCATTTATTCTTCCTCATAGATAGTGTAAGTCGACGGGGGCTAATTTACCTCGCGATGTGGATTATAGCTTCATTGAGATTCAGTTTGTGGGTTGATGGCTTATTCAAGTCAACGTGAAGGTGATTCGAGGTTTATGGATTCAGAGAGGGATTTGCTTAAAGGAATGACAGAGAATCCGCCAGTGATTTTGTTGCATGCAGCGACACAACTAAATCCACGATGGAACCGATCTACTCCAAGAAAACTTGCTTTCTTTTCCGATGTGTGTGTGTTTTGTGTTTCTTATTTTCTCAAGCAGAACACATGTTTATGTGTGTGTGTGTGTTTTGTATTGAAGAAGAATGGAGAGAGAGAAGGGAGAGAGACATCGGAGGTAGTGTGGTATTTTCATGCATATGAGAGAGATAGATATTAGAGAGTTGTTTTTTTTAAAGTTATAAATAATAATAAATAATATTATATTAATTAAAAATAAATATCCAAGGGCATGATGGTCATTTCAAATGTGGAGTACTAAATTCACAACAAAAACACATATCAGGGATGGAGTTAGCAAGTTTTAAGCAAACGAGGGACGACCCAAGTTATTTTTTGTAAATATGGACTAAACACGCTTTCTGACATGTGTAGTTGTGTACAATGGACGATTGGTGTAATTTACCATATTCTAAAATCATTTACAAACTCTAAATTACACGTTGAAAAAACCGCATGTCAATCCGAATTAAAACGAATGATATCTGCTTGTTTAAAGAATTTCATAGAATACAAAAGTTTAAATTTTTTTGCTGAAAAGCTGAAATAATTCAGCTTTGATATTTCATCTTTGAACGACTGTAACTTTTTGAATACAACACCAAAAACAATAAAATAGGTCCCTATACATTTTAGTGCTACCGGGATGAATCGAGTACATGGTTTTGTGTGCTTCTTCCATTAGAAAATCTCTTATTCCTCCCATCTTAGGTACCCAAATCCGATCTTGAAATACCTTCAGTCCTCGACTGTTTGTACCGAACACTAATGTTTTGCCCAAACGTTCTTCCTTTCGGTCATTCTTCTCTAAAGCTTCTTCTTGAGCTTTCCTGATACTTTCCACAATCGTCGAGACGACTTCAATTCTCAACGCTCTTGGCCTTTTCCTTTCAAGGTTGACTTTCTGACTGAGAGCATCAACAACAACATTTGCTTTACCGGGGTGGTAAAGTATCTCACAGTCATAATCCTTGAGTAGTTCTAGCCAACTTCGTTGCCTCATGTTCAATTCTTTCTGATTAAAGAGATACTGGAGACTCTTATGATCAGTGAAAAACTTGCACTTCGTGCTATAGAGGTAATGCCTCCATATCTTTAAGGAAAATACTACCATCGCCGCTCTAGATCATGAGTGGGGTAGTTCTTTTCATGCTCTTTCAATTGTCGAGAGGCATATGCTATCACCTTTTCTCTTTGGGTCAGAACACAACCCAAACCGACTCCAGATGCATCACTGTATACCGCGAAGTCTTCAAATCCATCGGGTAGAGAAAGTATAGGTGCTTCACATAACTTCTTCTTTAGCTTCTCGAATGCCTCATCATGTTTCTCACTCCACGTATATGTAGCTCCTTTGTGGGTTAACGCTGTCAGTGGAGTAGCTATCGAAGAAAATCCTTGGATAAATCTTCGATAATATCCGGCTAATCCTAGAAAGCTTCGAATCTACGTCGGACTCTTTGGACGTTCCCACTTTATTACCGCTTCGATTTTTACTGGGTCAACCATTATCCCTTATTGGTTAACCACATGACCCAAGAATTGGACTTCTCGGATCCAAAAATCACACTTGGAGAGCTTAGCGTAAAGCTTTTCCTTCTTTAACACTTCCAACACTTCCCATAGATGCTTGCCATGCTCCTCTTGGCTCTTCGAGTAGATCAAAATGTCGTCGATGAACGATATCACGAATTTATTGAGGAATGGTTTACAAACCCTGTTCATCAAATCCATGAATGCTGACCAAATTACATAACCAATAACTTGTAGTGTCCATATCGCGTTCTGAATGCAGTCTTCTCAATATCCTGCTCTCTCACCTTTAGCTGATAATATCCTGACCTAAGATCGATCTTTGAAAAGTAGCTCGAAC